TTTTTTTGTCCAAAGCATTTCTCTAGCAAGAGGGTTGCATAAAAATGGAAAGACACATGAGACTTTGTGTCACCAATTTTGATAACCAGTTAAAACTGGAATCTGCCTGTTCTTCCCTTAGCACAGCTTTCTCTCTCTAGTAAAAGCCATAAAAAAAACTTCATTGGTTTAACCATCAGCTCATATGTATATATACATGTGTGATTGACAAATAGCCTACAGTTAATTTTACATAGAATGAAAAGCAAGCAGTTTTTCTATTTACAGATACATCCTCCACATACGGCGGCTTTTATCCCACCATGTATATAAAAACAGCCTTGCCGGTAACCAGCCAGGAAAGTTGCATCTGATTTCCTTTTCCTACCTTTTTGCCACTTGCAGTGAGAGCAGGCAGCATAACTGAACTGCTGTGTATTTCAAACTTGTTATCACCGGTAACATATTCTAAGAGAAGCTAACTAGATTATGCATTCTTCCAACCTCTAGCACGAATACCAAAAAGCCAAATTTCTCCTTTGAATTTGGTTACTCAGTATAGTCTGTGGCTGAGTTAGAAAGAAACCGTCATCAAGAGTTTCCCTTCCTGGAAGATGAATGTTAACATTTTAGGAGTTCCATAAAATAGCTTTTTTCCTGGAAGAATTAAAAACGCCAATTCCTCAAAGACCAAGTAAATTTAAAGCGTGTCCTTGAGAACTGTGGAAATGAAAATTCATGGCTCAAGCTCTGTATCTTAGAGGTCCCTCAGTGTTAGTGAGGTGTTCCTAGGAGTTCGTTGAGTTAAGCTTTTAGGGGTAAACCTTTGAAGTACTTGATTTTCTCTTGTGCCTTAGTTTCTCCAAGTAGCAGAGGCATCACATTTTGGTGGGGAGTGAAAGTGGAAATATCAGGGAGAAAGTTTGAAAATGGCCTTCCTAGAAATAGAGGGTGTGCATGGAGTGGTCCTAAGACTCACCTTCGATTCAGAATTATCCTGCACCAAATCATTAGATTTCCCTAGACGGAAAAATTCCAATAGGGCTTTTTTGCATTGGGAGTACCAGAAAATGGTTTCTAGATGTTTATTAGATTTTTCTTCATTGCACTATCAGTATTGTGGTGGTTAAGACACAGAAAAAGTTTGAGAAAATCTGGTACTCTTGAGGGCTATACAGTATGAGCCTTTGATTAAGAATTCATTGATTCATGGGGCACCTAACTGATTCAGTCGGTGGGGCAATGTGACTCTTGATCTCGGGGTCGTGAGTTCCAGCCCCATGTTGGGGTAGAGTTTACTTTTAAAAAAAAAAATCGATTGATTCAAACATTAAGTGCCTGTGTGCCAGGTACTGGTGAGTACTGAGAACACAGGAGTGACTAAATCAGATTAGAAGCCTGTCCTCATGAAGCTTTGTCTAGTAAGGAGACATGAAACAAATTTTAGCTTTAGGAGAAGGATCTGCTTTTGCCTATTAGCATGGTTTTATTTTAAAAGTCATACTAGAATGATTTGGTTCAAATTCAGAGAGTGGGAAAATCAGGCTCAAAATGGAATTCGATGCTTATTTAGAGCTTAAAACTGCTCTAAAATGTTTTTTTTTTTAATTTTTTTTATGGAATCAGAAACCAACAAAAAATGTTCAAATATTTATAGGAATACTTGAAGAAATCAGTATAAATTATTTGCAAGTAATTTATGCTGCTGCTGGGGTGGGGTGGGCAGGGTAGAAGTCCAAGTAAACGGGAGAGATCCCAAATATGTAGCCGTGACCGTGAGCTTTCCCTCCCATCAGGGCATCCTTCCACGCAGGGT